TATCTGCCTGTTTCAGGTTGCAAGCAACATTAATTTTTAAAATAACTCTTTCTTCAGTTTCCACAGTATTTTTCTCTTTCCAGCACATTTTCCTGTTCAGCTGGACAGCAGAGTAAATATATTGGGTAAATGGAACATTTGCACTAACATCCACAGAGATCTGATTCAAATATTTACTTATTTACTTAAAGTCTGCATTTCTTGCTGATGCTTGAGGTGGATTGCAAAATTTGAGAACAGTGCAATAAAAAGAGTTTAAGACATGCCATAAACAAAACTGGCTTATAAAAATTGGGAAACGATGCATTGAAAACAAGATAATACATACAACAGTGCAATAAATTGCAACCCTATTTCCTTTACAAACCCCCCCCCAACTTACTGTCAGCTCATTTTTGGCTTGGACTTGTTGCCCCAAGTTCTTTGTGAATAAGCATAATAAACATGGGAAAACCCATACAAATACAGGAAGCAGTCAAAACGGGAAGAGACTGATGCAGGCCTCAGGGAAGCTGCCAGCCACCAATTTATCACTGGCTGGTGTGGGCTCATGATTATGTTCAGTCCAAACTGTTATGCCAATATGTCCTTCCAAGGAAGTGAAAAACAGTACTTTTGAGCTCCGTAGATCTATGTTCCTGTTTGTAAACGACAAGTAGCGCTGCTCATCCCTTGTTATTATAGAGGTCAAAAGAGTATATGCATGTTGATTATATGGGTAGTGCTGCCCACTAGTTACAGGGTGGTTTCTGGAACATAAAAATATTCTGCTGTAGAGTCTGTAATACCAGGAAGACAGAGTGGTATTCTAAAAAGTCCCCTATCTTTAAATGAACCAGTTATACGCAAAACACAAGCATCAAAGATTTTAATTATAAGCTGAAAGGGAGGGGGGGCAGATGTCCTGTAATGATGGCCTGTAAAAAGGGCAGTAATGCCAGACAGCATCCATTTGTATGAAATTTGGGTAGTGATGAGGTAGATGAGCTTGCCAAGCTATGATCTTGTCAGAAACTGAATGGCGAACCACTTGCTCTTCAGTAGTAGTTGATGATATGTAGTACAGCCCGTGAATTATATAGAGTGCTGGATGAATATATATGAGAAGATACCAAGGTAGTTGTCTGGTCAGAGCGTTGGACGAGGATCTGGGAGACCCAGGTTCAAATTCCCACTCTGCCATGGAAGCTGACTGAGGCTGCGATCACACGCGCCTTTTTAGATCTGATACAGGTGCAAATGCCTGACGGATCTAAAGGGTGTGATCAGACAGCAACATCTGGGAAGTGTCCTGCAGTTGTCGGCAACCCGTACTGTTCTGCCACAGAAGCAGAGTTAAAAGACACTGGGGAAAGTCTGGCTCTAACACGTTCTGACAGGCCACAGACTTTTCCCTGTCTGATCACGCAAGCACACTCTCATGCCGTCAGGATGGTCTGATAATTCCATTCCGGCTCAGTGCTGTTCTCCCACACACACTTCGCAGTATGCACATCATCGCATACTCCATAGGAGGCCCTCAGTGCGGAGGTGCGATTCCTTGTTTATGCGCATGGGAAACAAACGGCCAACCCCCCCCCCACTCACCCACAGTTGTGACGGGCTGAGCCCACAGCTACAAAGGGATGTGTGATCTCGCAACTGCGTGCCAAATTCCTCTGGAGGAAATAGCCTCGCTTCCCCTCTGCTTCAACGTGGGGGGGGGCGTGTGACTGCAGCCTGAGTGACCTTGGGGCCAGTCACACACTCTGTCAGACTAGCTAGCCTTGCTCCCGCGTGGTGATAGTTGTGAGGAGAAGGTAGAGAAGGAGAGAACAGTGTTGTGAGCTGCTTTGGGTCTTCGCTATGGAGAACAGCGGGCTGTACAGACTGACAAAAGTATTCTCAGGTGGTATCTTTACAGAAGCACCCAGCAGGTCTGATGTAATATGAATAAAGTACGTCTCTTTATCTTATTTTAAGAGACTATCACAGATCCATGGGAATAAATTGTGTTCCTTATTTTAAAATCCAACAGAATTATATGGAACACGTTCCACAGTTCTGGAGCACTACTTTAGTTTTTTTGTGGTTTGTTGTTTTTTTAAAAGGTGTGTATCTCAGAACTGTTTTGGCACGGGTAGTTCAGTTTGTCCTGTTTATACATACTTCTGCACATCCTGTAGAGGAGTGCTGCAAAGGCCTTTTGGGACAGAAAAGGCTATCGTGACCTTCCCCAAAAGGTATGATATTCAGTGAGGAAAGCTTTTTGTAGATAGAAGGATATATAGTGTAAATTGTGTCACCCTATCATAATCCCAGTGCTGCAGCCAAGTTTTTAAAAATAGACACAATGCAAATTCCTGCTCACTGACTGGCCTATGGTCACAGAATGATAGCAGCGGCTGTTCTTTGCACTGACTGGGCCTTCATCTGAACAATTGGAGCCCGTCTGCCTTCTCAGGAAGGATGTCAGGGGCGTGTATATACATCTCTCTCTCTCTCTCTCTCTCTTCCCCTTGTGAAAACCATCTGCTGCACCTGCGGACATGTGCTCGTTGTAATAACTGCTTGGACTTTCCAGTCATTTAAAGTGAAGCACCCATTTTCAGAGATTGATTTGAGATGGAATTTTGAGAACTGAGCCAGTAAACTTACTTTAAGCGCTAGGGATATATTTGACTGGTGGTAGCATGCCAGTGTGAACATTTCCTTACCACTGAGTTATTGAAGCCATCGTATCTGTGTGCACATGGAGACAGGCTTCTAGATCAGAAGGGTTCATTTCTGGGCTGGGTTGGGCTTTTGTGCCTCCCGTTTTAGAAATTCAGGCCATATTGGTATTTTAAACATGTGTATGGGGAGAGGGAATGATGCAGAAACCAGATGTCAAGGCTGCTAATTGCATTTTAACAAGGTGCCTTATCAATGTCGTTTTAAGAAAAGGTATACCTGCCCCTGTTCTATTGCTGAAATGTTTCTTTGCCTGACCGGCTTCCTTTCTATAATCCTTCCTTCCGTTACACAGTTTGAACTTTTGAATGAATCCATTATTATGTGATGCTGAAAGTGCATCCAGCAAACATCTAGATTTGGGTCTTTCATTGGTAACCTGCAACGGGTAATGTTGAAAGCAACCTAGACTGGTGTACATGATGCATAAGAATTTTGTATTTGTAGTGGAATGCCTTATCAGTATTTCTCTGTCTTGTCTGTAGGCGCCCTCTGGTGTCAATGCATTGTAAAGGGGGACTTTTAAAATGTAAAGTGGACCCCCGATCTGGTTAGCTTGGCATACTTTAGGAGTTTAATGTGTTAGTCTTCAGTTGGTGGGTCGTGCCCAGTGTTCCCTCTAAGCTGAGTTAGTGTGAGCCAGCTCACAGTTTTTTCGCTGCCAGCTCACACATTTTTGTCTTAGCTCAGAGCAAACTAATTTATGCAGTAGCCAAATCACTGGCTCACAACTTTAGTGCCAGTAGCTCACAAAGTAGAACTTTTGCTCACAAGACTTCACAGCTTAGAGGGAGTATTGGTCGTGCCCTGTCCTAAAACGGATTGTATCAGTGGCAGGACTACCATTTTGTTTATTTGGCTTTCTTTTTTGAAGGGGAAAGATAGAAGGCAAGAGAAATGGATCAGAACAAGAGTGGGAAAGGTGGATGGGCATATACGGTATAGGTTAAATAAAGGCCTTAACCCTAACCTGCAGTATGAGATCTGTGTCAGAATATAAAACATTAAAAGAAAAATAGTTGCATGTTGATATGTGCGTGATATAGGAACAATACCAGTCCTCACGTGTAGAATGGGGGGGGGGGGGGTGTAGCTGTGTATGTCACTGTCCTGTAACAGGAAATGACATGTGTGGTCTGCCGAGGCAGGGCTGTTCCATTTTCCCAGATAACTAAGAAGTAAAAGCAGAGAGGATGAAACTGCAGCCCTCTGCATGCCCAGCCATGGGATGACAAAGCGCCTCCCTTGCTTGGCCTAGCCCCGTGGGTCATCGCATAAGAAGGAAGGCTAGAATAGCACAGCCAAACCAAGCAGTGGCTTGTCTTTTCATCTTCCTCTCCCTTCCCTGGCAAGAGCTTTTGTTTATTGATTTAGGTATTTATACCCTGCTTTTCATTCCAGTGGGGAACCAAAGTGTCTTACCACAATACTAAAATGCAGTATAACCAAACATTAACGTCTTGGCCTGGTCCTGGGCCCAGGGGGCTGGCTCATCCAAAGCCTGGGGCTGCAAGCCAGGAGCCAGGCCCCTTGGGCTCTCACCAGTGTCTCACACCTTTGACTGTGCCCGAGCTGTACACCAGGAACAGGGAAGGTAAACAGAAGCTCAGCTAAGATGTTAACCGGCTGGCGGAGACATTTGCCGCAGTTTTTGCCTCCCTGCTTTTGAGCTGGAGCAGTGAAACGGTTTTATTGCGAGGTGAAACAGGCAGGGGTCATTTCGTAGAAAAAGAGGTGCAGAATCTCATTAGAATAACTTATTAGCATAACTTATTTGCATATGCCACACCCCCTGACATCACCGGAAGTGTGTCAGAAGACAACACCCACCACTCAGTCTCCACTGGACTGTTTTGGATTGCTAGCTATTGGAGTGGGTGAACGTGCAGATCTGCCCTCACAGAGGAGGGAGAGCTTGTACCTGAAGGTGGGCCGGGGAAGCTCTGCAACTTACCTGGCTTCTTCTTGCTCCTCGTGGGCCGACTGAGGGCTGCTGGGAGCAGGGGGTGGGGTTTGTTGCATGTGCCCGCCCCCTGGGCTCCTTACTGCCAGAGCTCCACTCCTGTGCGCTCCTGCAGAAAATGACCCCTGGCAAACAGTTGCAGTTACATCATTTAGTTTTCCAGGCACCTCTACCTGAACAGTGGCTACACAAAGTGTGGGATTAAATCGTGGCTTCTTGATGTTGCTGAGCTAGATCAAAAATGCATTTTTGTTGCTGGCTTCCATGTGTGGTGCCAGGTAATGTACTTACTGGTCTTTGTTCCCTCTCTGTTTTTCCCCTCCAGGTCGAAAGCTGAGAGGGAAAGCCTTTTATTTTGTTAATGGGAAGGTGTTCTGCGAAGAAGACTTCCTGGTGAGTGCCATTGCAGCCTGTTCCTTGTGGGTTACTCAGGGAGAAATCCGTTAAGTGGAATGGAGCAGAAAAGAGTTGCCTCCAAGAGGAAGGGCACTGTGGAGCACTGAGTGGCAGTGGGTCAGGTTTTGCATTCTTCAGGGGCATCTTTGCTGAATTTTTGATAGATCTGTCGCGGTAAAAACGTGAGCGAACTGCAGTGTGAATGATTATCCCTTCCCATCTGTGCTAATATGCGTGCACGCACTTTCCCTCTCGATCTGATTAAACCTTTCTTCTTTTTTTGGGTGAAAGATGAGAGACTCTTAAATGAGGCAATCAGTATCAAGGGCTTATCTTTTCATAATTGCAGCTTCATATGTGTTTTATTCTTGCATTGATGTACCCGAAAGGACAGAAATGACAAGTACGAATTCTGGATTTTTGTGGAGGCATTTTTTAAAGTAATGAAAAACGTAGTGGGAGGGGGCACTAGAGTGGCCAAGCACCCCTGTCAGCCAATGTGGACCCCCAGTTCATGAAGTGACAAAATGTGTATGTTTTGATTTAGCTATGCAGAAGTTTAGAACGAGTTCTCTCTCTCTCTTTTCCCCCAATCCCTCTCGATCTGATTAAACCTTTCTTCTTTTTTTGGGTGAAAGATGAGAGACTCTTAAATGAGGCAATCAGTATCAAGGGCTTATCTTTTCATAATTGCAGCTTCATATGTGTTTTATTCTTGCATTGATGTACCCGAAAGGACAGAAATGACAAGTACGAATTCTGGATTTTTGTGGAGGCATTTTTTAAAGTAATGAAAAACGTAGTGGGAGGGGGCACTAGAGTGGCCAAGCACCCCTGTCAGCCAATGTGGACCCCCAGTTCAAGAAGTGACAAAATGTGTATGCTTTGATTTAGCTATGCAGAAGTTTAGAACTAGTTCTCTCTCTCTTTTCCCCCAAATATAGTATTCTGGGTTCCAGCAATCAGCTGATAGATGTTTTGTTTGTGGACATTTGATAATGGACATGGTAAGTGCCCTTAAGTGTATTATAGGGGGACACACACAGACACACACACACACACACAAAAGTGGAAAAGAAAATGTGTTTAGAAACTTTCTTAACTAGGTACTAAAATCCAGGTAGCATGAAGGCCAGTTTGGGAAGGATAGCAAAACACATCTCTGATTTGCATTTTTATAAATGCTTGCTTATGTTTTATGCTTATTTTTAAAATTTATTTCCCACTTTTCTCCCTGATTGGGCCCCACCATGGCTTTTCATATTGTTTTCCCCTCATCCACTTAATTCTCACAACAACATTCTTGCAAGGGTAGGTTAGGCCAACAAATTCTGGTGGGCACAGGGTCATCCGGCAAGCTTCCGTGACAGAGAAGGGATTTGAATGTACTCGCTTCGGCAGCACATATATTAAAAAAAAATTGGGATTTGAACCTGGCCGTCCCAAGTCCTCGTCTGACACTCCAACCACTATACCACGCCAGCCTTCAAATGGGGAATAATTCCAGTGGTGCGCTATGACAGATTTTTGCATGTAATATCTTTGTATCAAAAAAGTCCTATACACACCCCGCATTTGTTTTGTTGGCCAGGAGTGCTGAATCCCAGGTCCTCTGTTCTGGAACATATCTGGTGTTTTGTGCATGGCCTCTGAGTAGAGCACAGGAAAACAGGGAAGGCTTTTGGAACAAAAGCTAGAGGCCTCACCTGGTTAAAGGATCTTAGTTGTTCCTGTACAGTTTAGTTTATTAAACATGCACAGATCTGCACATGAGAAAAATCAGCTGAAGAAGCAAAATGTGGGGGTTTTTTTTCCCTTTTGCAGAAGATGTTGGGCATCATCTTGGAGCCATTCCCTTCTGTGCTTGGTAGAAGGGCTGCCTCTCAAGATGGAGTTTGACCTCTGCAGCTTTACAAGGGCCCCTCTTGACTCGACCCCTCTCTTTATTTCAGGAAGCTTTGAATTAAGAAAGATAAATCCTATTGGTGATTCTTGTGCCCGGTGCTGATGTTTTATTACTGTTTTCTCAGTTTTGTTGCTGTGGCTGCTTTTAAGTGACACTTTAGGTCATTTTTAGGTTTTTAAATGGTAGTGAATCATCATGGGTGTGAGTGCAGGGAGGCAGTGTGCAGATATTTTAAGAACGTGAACGGTGCAGAGAATGTGCAGCTGCCACCATAGAATAGTGTACTTTTCCACCTCTTCAGGTCTGGTGTGGTGGTTAAGAGTGGCGGACTCTAATCTGGAGAACTGGGTTTGATTCCCCACTCCTCCTCCACGTGAAGCCAGCTGGGTGACCTTGGGTCAGTCACAGTCCTCTTGGAGCTCTCTCAGCCTCACTTACCTCACAGAGTGTCTGTTGTGGGGAGAGGAAGGGCAAGGGATTGTAAACTGCTCTGAGACTCCTTGGGTAGTGAAGAGCAGGGTATAAAAACCTACTCCTCCTTCTCCTCTTCCCTTCCCTTCCCTTCTAAACTTTAGGAATAGTTTCCATACTCACTGTCCCCATCCATAAAAGCAACAGGCAAGCAGAAGCAGTGGTGGCAGGGAATCTTAGAACACAGTGCATTTTGCAGTGCCCAATCTCGTGTGTTTTAAAGGGCAGAGAACGTGACTGTCTGTTGACCGTGATGGGACCTTGGGCCATCCTAGGTTTGGGGCCAGCTATGCTCGTTACAAAAAAACTGTGCTGATTGGACCATCAGATGTGAAACCCCTGCAAAAATTTTTTAAAATAGAGATTAGTCCTGTGTGAGGATCCAATACGACCAAGATCCACTCTACATGTTAGACCCACATGGAAGCTGTAACATGTTGAGATGCTGACCACAGGGATCACCACTGTTCAACAGAGATGTTTCATAACACTACTACCCATGAAAACTCTTATTGCAGTTGTAATAATCCACGTAGGAACCTGCTTTCCATGTTATAGATTGGATCCAATCAATTTTTCTACAAGAAGAATTCTCCTTTGGCCATCAAAGAAAGCTATGCTGGGCATCTTGGGACTCAAAGGTAGAAAAGTCATGTGGCATGGGAGCTGTAGGAAGGAGGGGAAATTGTAAGACTGAGTGAAACAGCTAGCTAGATTCAATCCATTAGCTACTAATGCATTAGCTACTACTGCTCTAGTGTCCTGGCCCCACTGCTGGACCTCCTGATGGCACCTGGTATTTTTGGCCGCTGTGTGACAAAGTGTTGGACTGGATGGGCCATTGGCCTGATCCAACATTGGCTTCTCTTATGTTCTTATGTTCTTACTGTGTGGGACAGCTGTTGAGTAGAAGAAACCCTTAATTGAATCACCTTTGAGGCTATAAAAAACAAAAAAACTTATAAATTACCGGAATGTAAGCTGTCTCACAGTTCCCTTATAGTGCACTGGAACACCACTTTCTTTTTCCTTGCCTGGGACATCTTCCTTTCAAGGCCTACAGTTGTCCTTCTGCTTTGAACACTGTTAAAGTTGCACTGTTTGCCCTTTAGTTGCCATGGTCCAGTTATGATGTTCCTAATGTTGCTGGTGTCACTCCCCCCCCACACCCACTTTCAATGATTTTAGAATTTCAGGTGTCAGGGTATGGGTTTATGAAGAAAACAATCCATGCTTCTTACGTTATTGCCTATTAACATTGCTAATATATGCCCATACACTCATTTGCAAATTGTTTCTTTACTGTACTCATTTAAAGTTATTTGTAAGCTCTTTTTTGTCTAATCCTGCAGATCCTGCAAGCTCTGGGGAAGTCTTACCATCCTGGCTGCTTCCGTTGTGTGATTTGCAATGAATGTCTGGACGGAGTACCATTTACGGTAGACAACGAGAACAAAATTTACTGTGTCCGAGATTACCACAAGTAAGGAGACAAAATAAGTTGAAGGAGAGACGTCCGAGCATGCAGCTCTTGAGCAAACTTAGCTGGAATTTTTGGGACTTGCTTCCAAGTAAATATTGCATAACTTCAAGTACCGGTGGGCCTTGCTAATAATGAGAGAGTACAGAGTAGGGTAAAGACGCTGATGCCTCATAGTGTTAACTTCCAAAGCGTGGCTGCACCTGCCTTTTCCCACACTCTCAGCTTCACTGGAACTTGGACGGTGAAAAGTTTGGAATGGGAGAACTTGAACATGCAGACTGGTCCTGTGGTACTAGTCCCACATATTTCTTTTAGCTTGTTTTAAGCCACAGTTACTGATTGCTAGCAGTACTGAAGTAGGTGTACAAAGCAGCTGTTATTAAGCAGTCTTTTGTGTTGAGATCCAGCTCTTGGGCAGATAATCTGGATAATCTTTTAACTCACGAAGCTGCTTTTTACGTTTCCTGATCACAGGTTACAGTGAATTCATGTACAATCCATGTACGGCGTACAGTTTTCTTTATGTATGCCTTGAGTAATTCTCTTGTTACATTTAATGCATATACAGCTGAACATAGATTTGAAACTGCTCATTTATCTAGGTACTGGTCCCTAGTTCCATTTCTAAAGTGAACACACGTTGGCTTTTTCTTGTGAACAGATCTCTGCATCTACATGCAGGATGTGTCCGTGCATTAACTGTAACATGAGGACAGGGCTACTGCATCAGGTCACTGGCTTGTCAAGACTGGGGATTTCTGCTCAGACTGACAGCAGATCTCCAGGGTCTCCAGTGGAGGTCTTTCTCATCACCAACCATCTGATCCTTTCAACTGGAGTTACCAAGGACTGAACCCTGAGACCTCCTGCATACAAAGCAGCTGGTCTGCCACTGAGCTACAGCCTTTCCTTCACGTCCGTGCAAATTGACACATGTCCTTGTGCTCTGTATGTGATTGATTGTAATAGCTTTTAAAGGTAAAGGTAAAGGTTTCCCTTGCTCGAAAGCCAGTCGAATCTCCGTTTCAAAGCCGAAGAGCCAGCGCTGTCTGAAGACGTTTCCGTGGTCATGTGGCCGGCATGACTAAACACCAAGGCGCACGGAATGCTGTTACCTTCCCACCGAAGTGGTACCTATTTACCTACTTACAATTTCTTGCTTTCGAACTGCTAGGTTGGCAGGAGCTGGAACTAGAGATGGGAGCTCACTCCATCATGCGGCACACTCGGGTCTTCAACTGCTGAACTACCGACCTTCCACAGCCTGCAGTTCAGTGACTTAACCACTTGAGCTACCGCTTTTATATAGCTTTTAGCTATATACAATAAATGATGTACTAATGGTAAATGCCCCTGTGGAAGATTGTTAATATTCCAAATGTCTTATCTATTTTTTAAAAATGTTAATGCGGTTAGCATTGTAGCTGTCTCATTTCCTCTGGCAAAGCTAACAGGTTCAGGTAGATAGACTCAGGTGGGCAGCTGTGTTGCTCTGAAGCAGCAGAACAAAGTTTGAGTCCGGTGGCACCTTTAAGACCAACCAAGGTTTATTCAGCTTTGTGGGTCTTAAAGGTGCCACTGGACTCAGACTGGGTTCAGGTAGGTAATGGATGAACAAAATGGCAAAAGAGGAAAGGGTTAACACCCCAACACTATTTCTGTGAGGTTACACATCAGTTTATTTTTTAAAAAAAATATTAAGGAGAGATCTGTTGCAAGGAACTCCAACATCATGTGTAGTTTGACAGTAAGGCTTAAGGTTATGGCCATTTCTGACTCCTGAAGAAAACTCAGAATGTTTTGAGTGAGAACCCAAACAACGTACCTTTGAAATTACTGTTATCAGACCTATGAAGGGCATGTCTGCTGTACAGGTCTAACAATGCCATTCAAAGGACACTTTCAAAAGCCATGTGGGACGTGAGCTGTTTTAATGAGGGAAATTGGCTGAGAGACTCAGTGAAGAAGCCGTCTGGATCCAATCCCCGGTTTCCCCCAAAAGAGCCTCTGGATTTGTATTTCTGCAAGCAAGTCAGGGACCTTTAGATGACTTCCCAGGACATTCAGAATACTGTGGTTTTTTGGGGGTGGGTGGGAGAAGTCATGTCAGTTTAAACTGATCTTAAAAAGATTGAAGGTTGGACTCATGTTTGTAACTCAATGCTTTTTTTATGCAGAGTTTTGGCTCCAAAATGTGCAGCATGTGGACTTCCTATTCTGCCAAGTGAGGTAAGGGATTATATTTACTCCTCCCACTGTTCAACTACATGACAGTCTTATTGACAGTGGTCTTCTGTTAAGTCCCCCCCATTTGTACATGTCAGAGCCGAGTCATTCTTGTGTCATAGACAGCATCTGAGTCATGGCTTGACTTCGTCATGATTCATTTGTCCTGTTGATTTTAGTGGGCATTGATCTTGACTAACTTCAGCAGAATTGGGGGGAATGAAGGTACAATGCAAAGAAAGTTTGTTGCACATAAATCCCATTGAACTTAAAGAAATAAAGTGCACAGTTGACCAGACCTGGATAGCCCAGGCAAGTCCAATCTCGTTACATCTCGGAAGCTAAGCAGGCCGACCCTGGCAAATATTTGGATGGGAGGCCTCCGGAGAATACCAGGGCTGGAAGCAAGAGGCAGGCGATCAAGCCACTTCTCTGAATGTCCTCTGTGCCCCAGTAGGTTGCCACACACATCCACGCGCACACAAACAAAATACAAAAAAGACATAAAGTGCACAGTTGGATGCTTAAATTCCATTGATGTGGCCAAAGCACTTTTTGAGTTATATCTAAGACGTTCATGCTGTTCTCTACCAACCTGCCTTCTTCCCATCCTTGTAAAGAAAATCCTAAATTGAAATCAGAATAACCTGTGCATGGTAAGTAAGTATATGTACGTATGCTTGTTGGTGGTGGGAAGTGCCATCAAGTGGCAGCCAACTTACGGCGACCCTTCAGGGTAAGAAACTTTCCGAGGTGGTTTTGCCATTGCTTGGCTCTGCATCATGACCCTGGTATTCCTTGGTGGTCTCCCATCCAAATACTAACCGGGGCTGGCCCTGCTTAGCTTCCAAGATTTGCTTACTATGCGAAATCCTTTTCATGTAATGTGAGGTTCTTTGGCGCAGAACTTGGAATGTCTGAGGGCTCTTCTTTTTCTTTAGTGCTCACTATATAAAATCCAAACTATGTAAGGATGATTGGGAACAACTGTTTAAACAATCACACTCAAGGCTAAATGCTTTTCAGAGGGAGCAATCCTAAGCAGGGTATACTCAGAAGTGTCTCATGTTATTCACTGGGCCTTACTCCTGGGATGGGGTCTGTAGGATTGTAGCGGTACTCAGTTCTGTCTTAGCTTCAATCAGCATGCTCAGGAATTAGCTTGTGGCCTGCTGAGTCATCTCACCTGGGCAGGCTGCAGAAGCTTCCCACAAATTTTGTAGAATTTTTTAAAAATGGTATTTTCTCCTCCTCCCTTAGCAGCAGTCTAAATCTATCAGCCTTCACATTGCTGGAGAAAAATTTCACACAGCCTGGAACAAATTCCACTTTAGTTCCTAATTCCTTTTTTGAACACTCTCCCCCCCCCCTGGATTTGTTTCAATGCTTACAGGGATCTGACGAAACTATTCGTGTTGTGTCAATGGACAAGGATTATCACGTGGAGTGCTACCGCTGTGAGGTAGGCCAGCCTGTTTTTAGAGTCCTTGCATAAAACAATATTCTTACAAATCCAAGCCAACTGTATCTAGAAAATGTGTATGTTCTCACTTTAGAACCCTTGTGGCTCCTACATGCTGGGGAATGCCCTGCAGAAGGGTATACGCAAAGGCTTCCCAGAATATATTGAGTGATGTTTTTCTGGTCAATGAGAATACTGACCAAGATCCAAGGAGCTCTTTAGATGTGTGCAAGGGCATGTGGGTGGGAGGAAGAGGCTTACTTTTGGATTTATTGCTGGTGGTCCTCTTACATTGGAAGCCATTACTTAAAACCCACTAAGCTAGGGGAGAGCGTCTTGTTTGCCAGAGATGGGCATCCTTTTTGTCTGGGCAGAAGTTCTCCACTGCATGCCCAGAGTCTCCTTTGGAGACCATTGGATACGTCAGATTCACGAAAGTTTATATTCAGCATTGCTTTGCTTATTATAAAGGAATGCTGATTAGAACCGTGCTGCCCATAAACTCAAGTGCTGTTCTTGAAAGCCTTGAGCACCCAGTCATATAGGGTAAGTGATGTTGCCATTCCAGCATCTGGGGACAAGAGCTGGGATGCCCAACAAAACACAGTGGGAATCTTTGAACAAGTGGCTTGTCACGTGGGTGAGGTCGCTGCTTGAGAATTGTACAAACCCAGAGTGCCTTCAGGGCCCAGAACTAGTTGCGGTGCTCTTTGGTCCTGGCCAAATTGCACACTCAAATTTTACTGGGGCTGGCAAATGTCGTATGTAGTGATGCTGCAATCCTCACACACAGCAAAAATCCAAATGTACCCTACTCACACTGGCCACCTCTCTCAAGTAGTTTATTTACTATTTTATTTATTTATTTTATACCCCAAAATGGCTTAACATCCTCCTCCTCTTCTCCATTTTATCCTCGCAAGAACCCTGTGAGGTAGGTCAGACCGAGAGAGTATGACTGGCCCCAAGTTACCCTGCAAGCTTCCATAGCACAGGTGGAGATTTGAACCTGGGCCTTCTAAATAGTAGTCTGACACTCTTAACTGCTGCACCAGACTGGCTCTTGTCACGGACTCTTGGACTTCCAAAGTACTAACCAGGGCCAACCCTGCTTAATTTTCCAAGAGCTGATGAGATCGAGCTAGCTTCGACCATCCAGGTCACGGCAGGCAGTGCAATCACAGGACCTAATAGCATCAGCCCTTCCATCTGGGGTACGTTAGCCTGTTATTGTGTTGAAAGATGTGCAGGCATGGCTCATCCACCCACATGACATACGCATCAGTTTACATAGGATTCTGGTCAGTCTCTGTGCAAAAGAACAAAAATGGACCCAGATACAGAAAATGGCAACTATGCCATCGTTTTCCATTATAGATATTAAATTAGCTTAGCCCATCTAGGAAGAGCCAGTGTGGTGTAGTGGTTAAGACTGTCAGACAAGTATCTGGGAGAACCAGGTTCGAATACCCACTTGTTCCACGGAAGCTTGTTGGGTGACCTTGGGCCAGTCACACACTCTCAGCCTAACCTACTTCACGGGGTTGTTGTGAGGATAAAATTGGAGGAGAGGAGAGCAACGTAAGCTGCTTTGGGTCCCCATTGGGGAGAAAGGCAAGGGTACAAATGAATTAAATAGTGTTACAAGTAGGGATTGTATTCTGAGCCCATTTATTTTCAGATGTCTGTGGCAGTTTTTTTAACGTGATTGTCTTGTTGATCCTTGTTTGTATGTCCCCCTTCGGAGACACACAAACGCACATGTGACGTTTTGGTTCTGCCCCTCCTTTCTTGCACAGGACTGTGGAATGGAGCTCAATGATGAAGACGGGCATCGCTGTTACCCCCTGGGTGACCGTTTGCTTTGCCACTCCTGTCACCTGGTGCATATAGAGAAAGGCACGACCCCTGCGGCTGCATACCGGCATCATTACTAGTCAGGGCTGCTGAAAACCCGCCCCAGAAAGCTGGCAAAGGAACGGTTGTTGTCCAGCCATTTTCCCCAATTGGCAACTTGCAGTTAAGAGGATAAGAAGCAGCAGCTTCGCCTTCCAAGTCCCACGCCGAGCATATTGCTGACGAAGTAGACACAGTGGTTGTGGATTCTTGTGTGGGCCTTGAGAGTGGGTGGGGATGGTTATCCAGTACGGGAAGAATATGTAGTGATGCCTAGAACTGTGGGTCTATTGTTCTGGGAATGGTTAATCGATCCTGGCCTCTGTGTAATGAACACATGTTCATTTTTATTTTTTTGCTTGACAGCTCCCACTCACCGAAATATATCAACATGCTGTATCGAGTGTGCTTTTAAATAAAAAATTGTGGTAAGTGGGGATCCCAAAAGTTAGAGGCAGGAATGAAGCTAATTGTACTCTTCCCCCTACACACATTTCATGGAGGTATTCTTGTCTTCCCCCAGTAGCTGCTAAGCTTTATTTAAAAAAACAAAAACAAAAAAGGCACAAACACTGAAAATATTTATGTACTGGTGAGAGATTGATCTGTTGCTCTCACCCATGCTTTTTAGAAACCAAGTCCTTCTAGCTGGCCCTGCAGTGGAAGCTGGAGAGAGAGGATAGATTAAGACTGAATATGCAGCTTTCTGTTCCTTAGAAGCTCAGTTATTTGGAGCACTAGGAACTTGAGATTTTAGAGTAGACTCAGCAGATTAAGATCTGTTGTACCTGTCCCTGACTTGCATGGACTGACACCTAAATGGAGTGTAATTTCAAGAATAGGGTCATGCGTATTGTCTCTCTAGCAAGACGAAAAATGGCTGTTTTCCTCTTTTTTAACTCCTGTCCCTTAAACCACCCCTTCAGTTAAGTGTGTGTGTGTAATAAATATCATGTGGACTATTGTGTATATATATATTTTGTAACTGATGCTTGAGGGAATGTGAGACGGATACCGGTTAACCTAAAACTTGTTTTTGCTAGGAGTCTTCCAGTTGCTTGCCCCTGTTCAGCCTGGGCTTGAGAGCCAATAAACTAATTCTGCATCAACGCTGTCGTTTTCAACTTTAATAGGACCTCATAAAGTTACCCATTACGTCACCATGGAGTTGTCGTTGCTGTTATAGTTGCTTTTGGAAAACCACCTTTAAAATAATACTGATTTTTTTAAAAAAACAAAACCCTCAGGCCTCCAGCAACATATTTTGTTTAGGGAGTAAAGCTTGTAACTGAGGAGTCCTCCCATTCCTATCAGGGACGCAAAGGAACTAGAAGCAACACTGCTTGGGCAAAATACCTGTGGTTTTCTTTGTAAAAAAATCCCACCATCGCTATAGGTCATCCTCTTCATCACTTGCGAGTTAAAAATTACCTTAAAAGCTTTCGTTTGACAAATATTTTAATGACAACTTTCACTTGGCTCAAACCAGAGAACATAAATAGATGTAAGACAGTAACCAACAGCAATATTTCTTTAGCACAACATTATAGCAAGGGGAAATGTGTTCTCTCTGAAGAGGAAAAAAACTAAAGGTCCGTAGGCAACATGAGTTGTCTGGAAATTATTTCAGTGGTGAAAATCATTTCGTAGAGCCTGGGTATCTCCTCACCAGTTATAAGATTCCAAAGGCCGGGCGGCAGCAGGACTTTCGTTCCAGGTAGGCAGTTTCTTTCCTTCCTACCCTTTAGACTAGGCATAAGCATCAACCAGGGACTTCAGCCCCAGCACAACCCTCACCACGAAGACACACCGCACTAGTGCGTGTCTGGATGCCAGAAGCCTTTTAGGCCCCCCCCCCTTCCAGAACAAAAGAGCTCTAGCAGAGGCCTTCCGTTACTACACCCCAACATGAAAAAAGGGCCACAGTGCGTAGTAAGCAGCAGGCAGAGAAGAGGGGCTTAAGAGCGCTATGAGTGGGCAGCGTTAATGAAGTGTAGGCTTTTAAGGCAGTTGCCCGTGAGAACTTTAGGCCCTCTTAGGAGCATGCAGAGAAGGAACTTTTAAGGTCCTTAAAATAGTGCATTTGTGTGATGCATGGTATGAAATGTATCTACTACTGCTGCGAGAAACTGTGTTGTCAGTAAGACTGGTCCAAACCTACCTGTTGACCAGTAATGATCCTGTTCACAAATAAGCACGCCTCTACTAGGTAATTTTTGCAAGGAATTTAAAAAAAAAACAGCCTCTTCCGCAAAGTCATTTTGTGACTTGCAGCATTTGCCCCCTCATAAGGACAAGTTAGTGTTGTTACATGATCTGTGTAACTGAAAGTAGCAATGCCTGCCGCTGTAGTCTGTTTTTTTGTTGTGAAGAACACGGGCTACAAACCTGAAAGCTAGGACGAAAATATGGATATACTTTGACCACCACAGAAGCCACGCCCACCAGCTATTTAGTTAACAATGCCCATGGGGAATGTAGTAGGAAATAAAAGTCACCAATCCCCTTGTGAGTGCACATAGAGAAAGCACTTTCTGATGCAGCCGAACTGAATGTGGCCCCAGAGTCTTTATGCTTTATCTTTAAATAGCATGTCGAGGAGATCCTCTACCACTGACCCACAGCCCTTCCCGTCACAGACTTCGTTTTTCTTATTCAAGGGAAAAAAACACAGAACAGGAGTCAATACTTAGAAAAGACTGAAGGGTTTTTTATTGTTTGAGTACACTGTACGTTGACGTATGAAACTCAACTTCTTTGTAAGCTACTGGACATAGATATCCCTTCCAGTTTCATGCCTACATTCGTTCCAACAGTGCAAACTTTCCAAGGCTTCCTCCTTGCAAACAGTTCTCAATAGGAAACACACCAGGATAACCAGTTAGCTGTTCCAAACATACCATCATAGAGCAAAGCCATTAAACATTTAACCCATAGTATCTTTACACTTCCTGCATACCTGATAACTTGGGACTTTAATTTTTTTTCATACTCTGCTGTTTCCACTGCATCATCTAAACAGGAGCTTTGTATATTACAAATGATTGTGAATGGATAATATTTAAACAAACCGAAAAAGGTCAAATGAACAGTCACCATTTGCAAAGACTATACAGTATGTTCAATCATGATACAATGAAAACACTGCAGCAGTGTGTTGTGTTTCAGCCTGCAGTGATGAACTGTATTAGTCCTAGCACTCTACCTGTTTCCCTAATATTTAAACTTCATAATTGCAATCCTGAATATACAGCTGTAGTTACAGGAAATATTAATTGCACAGCACCTGAAGCAGATTCATGTCTGGTTCAGAACACAGGTAATAGAAAATGGGTGACAAAGTCATTTAAAATTGGTCCTTGATTCAGATCTAATATTAATATAAAGCTTGGAAGCACTAAATTTGAGACACACATTTATTAGTAACCAGCACAAGGCTATTTTTATAGCTGAGAACATTACAATTGAAGAGAAATATAATTACATCATGCACAAAAAAGCAAGCCGATGCTAATCTCCAGTGCAAACATGGAAATTAGCCAGAGAAAATATATCAAATGTGTGTTCTCCCTTCCACATATTATCCCCACTAAAACCAAGGCAGAGTAAGCAGCATCTGGTTTGCCAGAACTATAGAAAATTTCTACATTTGTGACTCTTAAGAAAGAAAGAAGTATTTGGACCTTTAGCATAAGAGGGACAAAAGAAGCAGCTTTACATTCTTTGATTCCATTTGTTTAAAAAAGGGCTGGATCTTAACATTTGAATCACACTGAAAATTTTGTCATTTACGGACTGGAGTCATTAAAGCATCACATGACACATTTCAAACGAATTCAATGGTACCCTCACCCTCTCAGCAAACAGAATATTGCATCAACAATCCGACAATGGACAGAAAGGGACTTGAACTGGGGAGGGAAGGGGGAGCTCTCACTCTCAACTTTTAGGAAAAGATCAATATTTTATATAGAGAGGTGGAGAGAGTGGCTACAACCCTGCAGTTTAATGCTGAGTTCCTGTCTATAAGGTCACCCAACTAGAAGTTTAATTAAGCAGCAAGATGTACTATAGTTAACAAGCAAGGACTTTCCTACCAGATAAATGTAACGCAGGTCTAATCTTAGCAAAATCCAGTAGCAGCCAGTTCTCGGTACAACTGCATCTCCTCTGCGACTCTGACAGGTTTAACGATACTACTCTGCTGCAAAGCTTGGCATGCCGTTTTAAATGATACGGTGAACACTCGGCAGGACTACAGAATTATTTCCGTCTTTTTGTTTCCCTAATGTCGTGAGCGCCAGCTGCCCGGCAAATGCAATACTCCAGAGATCACTGTGACTAGATCAGTCAATCACCTCCAGCAAGCAAGAAGCTGGATTCATTCTTTTCACCCTGCGAAGATGAAAGCTGAAGAGACCACAAAGCTGGTGTGGAAAGCAGGTCAGTAGAGGCTCCAGGAGTGGCTTGAGGAGTCATCCCTACCAAGCCGCTTTCCACACACACAAATTCAGTCCATCTTCTCCTTTTGGACCAGTTTAGGCGCATCTACAAAATCCTTGCCGTTGTAGAGGATGATGGCGAGAGTTCCAAAGCTTGCGCTTCCCCAGAAGAGGACGTAGGCCAGCGTCTCTGTCCATGTGTCGCCTGCAGAATATAACAGCCTTTCATTATACACAAGAAGAACTACTTAGGAACCATGAGAACAACCAATTAACTGATTCATGAAACAATTCTGAAGTGACGCTTCAGATCTGCTACATGTAAAGCAGACTTTCCCCCTGCTTCAGAAGCATGTGAACATTACTGGCACCACCATCCTGATAGGAAGGTATTCTTGGCCACAAAAAGCCGGCTCCTTAGCTTGAGAGCTACAGGGAGGGAGGATGGATGGTGTGGGAGGGACAGGACGATACAGGAGAAGGCTGAGATGTGACTGGTCTTCCTTGCATGGAATTTGGGAACAACTTCATACCCAGCCATCTGTCCACATAAGTATATTCTATGTAAATGGAATTTGTGTGCAACTCTTAACTAATCAGACAAAGGCTTAGGACTACAAAGTTTAGTCTGCTCTGTTAAATGTAAATGCATTAACGCTTAAAATGTAAGTGTATTAATGACAGCAAAGCGCTCTCTCCAAATTACTCTTCTTTGGTTATAGAAGGCAGCCAATAGAGGAGACACTGATATTAGCCAGAACTTCTCAAGTAGCTCTTTGAGGAGTACATCCATTGTACAAAATGAGTTTAGATAAATTAAGATTCCACTCACCAGGTAATAGGGTGTGTAAAAGGAACACAAATCCCTTCCTAAAGCAGGACTAGTTTTCCTCCAAATCTCCTGAGAAAACTATCACCTTTGATCATGCATATAACACACTGAGAACTCTCCCCTTCCAAAATAAGAATATTAAACACTCCACACTTTTGAACATGCATACATTCTAGGCTAGGTATTTTGGAGAATAGGGCTACGGTGGCTGGCCATGACCTGGAAACAAACTGGGTATGAACCATATCAACAACCGGAGTCACAGTCAGAGAAATGGGACTGTAGGTCAAAACCTGGCTATGGAAGAAAAGATTCTCCCAGTTAAGTAAATTATCTGGCGTGAAGTCTGGGAGTGTCATGGGACGGCATCTCATGACCACTGAAGCAAACCCAGTCATTTAATATGCCTCTAAGTTATCCATGTTTAATCATTGAGCCGCCCTGAGCCCGTTGGGGAGGGCGGGGTATAAATCTAATAAAATAAATAAATAAATAAATAAAGACCTTTGGTCATAGAAGCTAAGTAACATAAGAAAAAATATGCTTCTAAGAAGTCCAACCCCCCCCCCCCCACCTCATGGAACAGTTTTTATTAAGAAATTGCCAGTTCAAGCAGTTGTATCAGCTCAGTAGCAGTGACCGATAGTGAGGCAATCTGGCACCCCTGAATATGCTTTGTTTGCTTCTGTTATCTACTTGCATCACATTATAATGTGGAACATGTGAGTTGACCTCATGGGAGATTCTGCCTTGTGGCAGGAAAAGGACCTAGATTGTTTTCAGAGACCTTCCCATGGAACTGAAGTTCAATGAGGTCATGTCATTCTTCTTGGGAGTCTGCAGACTGTTGCTAGACCAAGCTCCTCCATCATGCTAGCACAGCTGAGCCCATTCCTTATACCGTTTATCATGTCACCCACGTATTGCCCAGCCCTGGCCTTGAAGACAGATACCTCTAGTAGGATAGGAGGAGGGGCTACGTAACCATCATCTCTTTAAGCCACCGTTATTTAGATGTGAGTAAACGGCTATGAATTACATACACACGAGCGGAGGGATCACTTACCAGCCATGAGCAAACAGATAATGCACATTGAGAAAGCAACCACCATAATAATAGGCAACTGGGAAAAGAAAAAAAGAAACATGACGTTAAGTGACACAATACGTAACTGGTGTCCCAAAGCTGTTATACACTAATTGCAGTGTATGTTGTACCGCAAGCACCTTTAAGCTGACCAAGGAGACACTAGGAAGAAACCCACAGCGCATCTCCATTCTCAGGATGGCTTACACACAAGAGTCCCACGGCTCTCTAAAGGTGAGAGGTGGTTGTGCCAGACGCCTCTTGGACCAGAGCTGCCGCCTCAGGTGCAGCCAGTTCCAGCCCGTGGATGTTTATAACACAGTACATTTGTTAGCTGTCAGAATACTACAAGACACTCTTATTTATTTATTTATTATTTTACTTATTATTTTCAATTTGTATCCCACCTTGCCAGTGCAGACTTGGCTGCTGCTAGATTTGAAATGGATGTTACAGTTTCTTAATTTGAAGGCCACAGAGGCCACCCACTATGATACCTGTGTACACTGATTAATAGAGAAAATACATTTTCGTTTTGAACAAGCTTCTAGCACAGAGCAACAGAGACTCATTGAAAACACACAGATGGCAGGTACGATCCACCCTTATGGAAAAGAGTAGGTCTGAACAGACTTTGAACTAGGGGTGTGTGTTCGGTATAAACCGAACTGAATAAATACCCAAAAAATCCCTTATCAGTATTTTTTTTTGGTATTTATTCAGTCAAATGCAGGTTAGACAACCTGATTCGGCTACTGATATAGCTGGCCTGAATTAAAGCCAATATTATTTGGCTTTTATTCAGGCCAGCTATATTGCAAAGTTGCGTCGCTGGGACTGGAGAAAGCATTCCCTTCACTTGTGGACTTGTGCCGCCTCGGCAGCAGGCCTCCACAAGTAAAGGGAGAAGGCATTTCCCTTCACTCATGGAGGCGTGCTGCGGTGGCGGCACGACTCCATAAGTGAAGGGATTTGTAAATGCCGAATAAATTTAGGTTTCCCGATTATTTACCCAAATCCCAATATCATACCTGTATGAGGATTCGGAATATTGGTAGATACTGGTATTTTTCAGGCCCAATGGGTCAGAATCCAAAAAAAGTAACCCCAACCCCCCTGCACATCCCTACTTTGAACAGAACCAATTTTAAAGGAGATGGATTGTACCTAATTCTGCTACATAAAAAAATAAAAATAAAAGCCTGAGTGAAGCTGGATCCAGCCTTATTTTGTATCTCATCCGGTTTATTCCAAACTCAAGCTAAGGGGCTGCTCAGGCAGTGTTCTCCACATCACACCACTGTATGGGCAGCAAGGCTGAGAACGAGCTTGCATGCTTCCTCTTTGGATGCAGAAAGCCACTAAAAACGAAGGAATCCTGAGCTATTTCAATACATTCTGAACATGCTATGTGAGCTGGTTCACATTCAATAATCAAGGACGTGATTAACCTCACATTTCATAGAGATAGGACCTCCAAGATCAGGCATTCATTTCTTTAGTGAGGGGAACAAGGAAGGGAGCGCAGGTATCAGGGGCCTGCTACCTCTGGGGGCCTGGTCATTACATGCCAAATATACAACTCTCAACTTAAGCAGTGAGGTATTCTTTAACAGTATATGGATAGCTGCTTGTCATCCCTACTCCCCATTCAGAGAACGTATCCTCTTATGATCTTAATCTGAGGAATAAACATCTTCAAGTTCTATTCAGCACACTGTTGTCCTTTGTGTAACAGAAAGTCTGCCACAGTGAGAGGCAGGGATGGAGGAACACAGGTTTTTTTTAAAAAAATCGCTTTGCTGCAGCCACTATTTTACAGCTGCTCTGAACTGCAGAAATATCTGTATCATCTTTATATTATACAAGCAGAGGCAAGAGTTCAAGGAACCATGCAGAAGTCATTTCAAAGCCTACTGCTTGGTGCCTGCAATTGCACAGGGAGAAAAGTGCCTTTTTGGCCTTTGACTGTGCGGTTAAACCCTGGAATTACCCTTCCCTTCTACCTACGTTGATATGTGAGAAGCTAGAGAGATAAAAGCTCATCTAAACACTAAGATTAACCCTGTGGTCAAAGCTGCAGAAGACCACCTCCCCACATGGCTACAGGTACCAGGCCCAAATGCCTTGAGGTGGTTGTTGGAATCTACTTTGAGCACCTCATCAGCCTCTCTTAGGCCTATCAATGTGAGCAGATATAATAAAGTCATACTAACTATGACGCGCTATCCCCCTAGCAATTACCATCTTCCACATTAAATATGATCAGTGTCAAGAGACTCTGAACTTCTTAAAGGACTTCAAAACGGTACGTGGCAGATAATGGCTGACACGATGACATTCAGTTGCTATCTGCCCTCTGGGCTCTGCTGTGTTAGTACATTTATTTATTTATTTATTTATTATTCACATTTTTATCCCGCCCTCCCCGGAGGCTCATAACATTGTTAATATGACTTTCAAAGTAGCATTTAATTCTCAGCTAAGAACAGCAATTAATGCTTTCCTGCACTTCTGAGTGGATGTGAATTTTCGCTGACAAAGAGGGGGGCAATGCGTCTGTGTTTATCCTCTATTCGGGGCACATGAGCAGAGACCAGCAATTCAGCCCTCGCTCCCCAGGTAGAGAACAGCTAAAAGAGCGCCTGGCAGGAGACCTCTGCAGGATTCAGTCCCACCTTCCTTAAAGCACAAACTGCTGTTGCGCTCGCTGCACTGCTTCACTCTCAGAAAGTCGTGCAAGTGGGAAGGGACAGTTAAGCAGCAGTACAGCAAGGAGCTGACAGAGGCCTCACTTGCATCTCCAGCAATGCTCCCTCTAAGCTGTGGAGTCTTGTGAGCAAAAATTCTACTTTGTGAGCTACCGGCATTAAAGTTGTGAGCGAGTGATTTGGCTACTGCACAAATGAGTTTGCTCTGGAGCCATCCCTTCCTGAGCTGAGACGAAAATGTGTGAGCCAGAGGCTAAAAAACTGTGAGCTAGCTCACACTAACTCAGCTTAGAGGGAACACTGATCTCCAGTTACTCCACCTACAGCAGAACGTTTCTCAACTACATGGGTCTCACTGCACGTACAGGGCAGGAAAAGAGGAAGAGCTTGCATCAACCAAAGCAAAAAGCGCTTTCATGGGTGATTATTTGTCCCTACGGTTTTCACTGTAAGCCGCCTCAAGCAGGTCTGCAGAGGCAACGTACGTTTTCTACATTAAACGGGGGACAGGTGTGGTCTCAAGCCAATCAAATCATCCCATTCTCCTCAGCTGCAGGTTACCAGTTGTTACTGGTAATCATGACTGTTTGCAGAGCAATGCTACAGTGCTGGATTTGTTGGGAGTGGGGAGGGAAGAATATCAGCTTGGCTATGAAATATACTGGATGCCTTAATGAAATACATTTTCTCCAGGCTGCATGACAGAGAAACATGAGCTCCTTCAAAGAGGCATGGGATAGAAGTTTAAACACTGGGGGGGAATCCCCTTCTTGCAACCCAAGACCAAAGCACTGAAAGATACTCTAATTCTTATCAAAAGTCAATCAGGGCTTTTAAGTATTGAGAAGCAAGCCATGAAGGAACTGAAACCCTGTATTGCTATTAACTTTAGCACAAGTTGGTGCTGTTAGAAACATTGCAAAAAGGTCGCATCAAAACTTATTAAATATCCTTACAGCCAAGAATTTCCAGTCTTTCTGCATACGAAAAGGACTGACAGAATCTGCTTCATCCACAGAATAATTTCCAAGAAACAGATCTATTGCATCCTGCACGAAAAAAGAAAACCCAGTTAAGTGGTTTAGAATTCTATCCTGTATCCTCACAGGATCCTTCAAGATCTTACAACAGGAAGTTTAACACAGTATTGAAACCAGCAATATTATCATCCTAAACTAAATGAAACAGCAACTACCATAAACCCAAATAGTATATCGAGGCCTCACCAATTTAAAATTCCTATTTTAAAACAAGCAAAAAAGACTAAAGAAACAAGCACTACAAATCACAATTTGTAAACAGTTAAGAAAATAAGCCTAATTATTATGGGCATTAATCCCATTAATCCAGAGTGAGCTCCCGTCTCTAGTTCCAGCTCCTGCCAACCTAGCAGTTCGAAAGCAAGAAATTACAAGTAGATAAATAGGTACCACTTCAGTGGGAAGGTCACAGCGTTCCGTGCGCCCTCGTGTTTAGTCATGCCGGCCACATGACCACGGAAACGTCTTCGGACAGTGCTGGCTCTTTGGCTTGGAAACGCAGATGAGCATCGCAACCCTAGAGTCGGATTCGACTGGCTTTCGAGCAAGGGAACCTTTACCTTTACATAATCCCCTCAAAGGCCTTTCAAAAGAGAACTGCTTCTATGGATTTCTGGAATCCCTCTCTGAGAGGGTCAACTGAGCCTCTGTGGGAGAGTTCTAGAATGAAAAAAAAAGAACATGTGCCCACCACTAGGGATGTGCATTTCGGGATCCCAAGCCAAAAAAAAAGCCGAAAATAACGATTTTCGGCTTTTTTCGGCTTTTGGGATCCCGAATTAGCAATTTATGAGCTTGTCCGAATCCCGAAAAAAAATCCCGAAAAATTCGGGTCCATTATAACCAATGGGGCCATTGAAGTCAATGGCAAAAATCCTCTTGAAACTTTGTGGGGGGCTGGGGGGGAGGGGGTTTGGGGTAGAGGCTCCAAACTTGGAGCGTGCTTACTGGAACCTCTCCCCAACATACCCACCAAGTTTCAAGACGATTGGACCAGGGGGTACAATTTTATGGGCCCCCAAACAGGTTGCCCCCAGATCAGCTTGCTGCAGTTTATTCGCGGTTTGCCGCCGAAATTCGGCGGCAATTCGGCAACATTGTATCCTATGGACCTTGGAGTGGGTAAGCTCCAAACTTGGAGGGTGGTTACTAGAACCTCTCCCCTACATACCCACCAAGTTTCATGAAGATTGGACCAGGGGGTCCAATTCTATGGGCCCCCAAACAGGTTGCCCCCATCCCATTGTTCTCTATAGTGGGAGAAAAATTACTTTTTTCCCACCATAGAGAACAATGGAGGGATGGGGGCAAACTGTTTCGGACAGCATGTTTGCAAACTTTTGCCAGACCAGCCAGCCCCAGCCACACTGCAGCAGAGAAGAACCATACAAGTGCCCCCCCACAACCTGTGCCGCCAAACTGGGTGCCCAAAACCCCAAAACCAACACAACTTGGCTCAAACCAAAGAATCTCTACAGCAGCAGCACTGAGGTAGCATGTCTGTGCATTACCAATGCCAGACAGACAGGCCCAGCAGCAGGACCAGAGCAATCTGCCCCCCCACAACCTGTGCCAAGGTGCAACCAATCAGTGCCCAGACCAACTTGGTGCAAACCAGAGAATTTCTGCAGACAGCAGCAGCAGCCCACAGACTGAGGGAGCAAGCAAGTGCATGCCAGCCAGGCCCCAGCATTGCAACAGAAGAACAAGAGCAATCTGCCACCTGTGCCAGGCCAGCCAGGTTGCCATGCCAGTCAGTGCCCCAAAACCAGAACTAGGTCAAACCAGAGAATCTCTCCAGACTGCACTGGAGCGGCAGCACACAGGCTGAGGGAGCATGTATGTGCATCGCCAATGCCAATGCCAGCCAGCCAGGCCCAGCAGCAGAACCAGTCCACCACAAGTGTGCCAATGTGCCAGTGCCCAAAAAACCCCAAAAGCAAAACAATCTCTCCCCTCTGCAGTGGCAGCGGCCTACATAGGGGAGCATGTTTGCTAATGGCAGCCATGCCCAGCTGCAGAACCAGAGCAATCTCAACTTCCCCCCAACAACCTCTGTGCCAGTCACCCAACTTACTGGACTCAGTCCAAACCTGAGGATTTCTGCAGTATAAATGAAGGGGGGGGCAGGCAGGGCCTGTGCAAGTGACGTGAGCAATCACTAGGGGTGTGCGTGCGAATCCCCACTCAGCGCACCTGAAGAGAGGCAAAGGGAGGCCAGAGGAACCCAGATGCCCCCAAATTAGAGTGGCTGCCAACTCTCCAGGTGGTGCCCAAAGATTGAGATAGGATGATTCCCAGGTTGGGGAATCATCCAGAGGGGTCCCACGTATGCTACCTCTAGGAAGGTGGCAGCAAGGAAGTAAGATAGCTCCACCCCCACCGGGCAGGGGCAGGCAGGCAAAAACATCCCGAGCCACACAGCGGCTGGCTTGTGGGTCTCCCCGCCCCGTTCCCAGCAATGCAGGAGGTTTTGGGCAAATTGTTGAGAGTGGGGGGTTGGTCAATGGTAACAATCCTTTTTTAGCCTGTGGCCAGTGGCCACCTTTGGATTTCCAAAGCGGAGCGGACTAGTAGTCATCTCTCCTTACAGTCTCTCCTGGCCATGGAGCAGGCGGGCTGGGTGTGGTTGGGGGAGGGGCGTGCAGTGCACAGGTTCTGCTGCTGTCCCCTGCCCTGAACAGGGGACCAAGCCCGACTCCCAAGTTCCCAACTCCTTTTCAGCCTCTCGGCAGCCCACCTTTGGATTTCCAAAGCAGGCTAGGCAAATAGCGCTTCTGGTCATGGAGGAGGGGCCTCTGGGCCTCTAACCCCCTCCCCCCCAGCCCCCCGCAAAGTTTCAAGAGGATTTTTGCCATTGACTTCAATGGCCCCATTGGTTACAATGGACCCGAATTTTTCGGGATTCCCGAAAATTTTCGGATATCTATGCTTTACCGGTATAGATATTCGGGTTTTTTCGGGTTTCCCGAAAAAATTCGGGTCCAATAAACCCGAATCCGAATTTTACCGAATTTTTTTTTTTTTGCACATCCCTACCCACCACTGCCCCTCCCACACAGGCGGCACACTGAGAATGTGCATGCCCCCAAGAGCTCAAGTCATAGGCATATTCCTATGGGCACAGGAAGTACTTTGGAGTGAAGATCTGGCTCAGTGGTAGAGCATCTGTTTGGCACGCAGAAGGTCCCAGGTTCAACCCCTTTCCTAAAACAAACTAGTCCTCTTCCCTGCCCTGACACCACATGCCAGAAAGTCCCTATATTTCTACAGTTGATCTTCCTTTACGAACTACAGTGAGAATAAAAAGGAATGAACAGCATGTTGTTGGCTCCCGGAGAAATCAACAAAAAATTAATATAAACACTGGAAAGTTCGTACCTGTCTAAAGCCATCAGAAAAGTTGTTCTTGTAATAACGTATGAGTGACTTCCAGCTGTCCATTACTAGTCCCCACTGAGTCCTCTTCCCAGTTCTAATTTTTTTTAATAAAAACCAGTATTATAAAATAAAGAAGCATCTCCAAGGAGAAATTAGAAAACAGCAGTCCTAAGTGCTTGAGGGTATTCAACAGTGAATTTATAGCACGGTCCCTCCATCTGCCTCCCTTGACTCTGTTGGATCATCCGATCAGGAACTGGTCTGAGACTGGCCAGTGTAGCGTTTCCAATCTCCTTCCCTGAGAGCCACAGGACAGGCCCTCAGGCCCTTGGGAAAAGCCTGGAGTCCTTTGGCCTTTCAGCTGTGACCGGCTCCCTGTAAGAGGCTCAACCCAGCTTCTTCCCCTACCATACTTCCTAGGTAAGCAATGAAGGATAGAAGAGCCCAGGCATGACCAAAGTGGATCCACTGCAAGGCCCCCAAATTTCAAACAGAAAACATTCCACTAGCAGTAACAGAGATGGCTTTTATCGTACTGCATGTTAGAGCTGATTTTCTGGGTTCATTTAAAAAAAGAAAAAACAGGTTTATTTTGGTTAAATGGTTGCAAGTGGCTTTGAGAGTCCAATTCAGATGATTAAGTGGGATATAATTTTTTTAAAAAATTGTAGTGCAGGCATTTCATTTGATACACCAGTGCTGTACAGAGGTCAGAGCAAGAAGGGAGTCCTGCATTCAGATCCCCACTGTGGCATGACACATGTAGGTGATTGGTTGCCAGTCGCTTTCTCTCACCTTCATCCACCCTACAAAATGCAGCGGCACCGGCCCAGTCAGTGAAGAGCCTGGGAGTAACACTGGATACCTCCTTATCTATGGAGGCCCAGGTTGCTGCAGTCACCAGATCTGCATTTTTCCATCTTAGGCATATCAGGCTACTGAAGCCCCATCTCTCCCCCCAGGGCTTCGCTACGGTGACCCATGCAATGGTCACTCCCAGGCTTGATTACTGCAACTCGCTCTATGCAGGCTTGCCCTTGAAGCTGATCTGGAAATTACAGCTGGTACAAAATGCGGCGGCGCGTCTGCTGATGTTGACACCTGTGCGGCCTCACGTATGGCATGTGCTCTGTCAGCTGCATTGGTTGCCAGTTGAGTACCGGATCCGCTTCAAGGTGTTGGTAATCAACTTCAAAGCCTTTTACGGCCTGGGACCAACATACCTAAGGGACCGCCTCTTCCCATATACGCCTCGGAGAGCATTACGCTCTGAGAGTCAACATCTCCTGGCGATCCCTGGCCCAAAGGACATCCGCCTAGCCTCGACCAGGGCCGGGGCTTTTTCTGCCCTGGCCCCCACCTGGTGGAACATACTCCCTATTGAGATCAGGGCCCTGCGGGATCTTATTCAATTCTGCAGGGCCTGCAAGACGGAGCTCTTCCGCCAGGCCGTTGGCTGAGGCAGCAGGCGTCCACATATGCCCCCCCCAAGGTTGCGGTCTCCCACCGATAACCGGCCATACTTAGTTACCTCAATGGGCCGGATTCTCCCTACGGTAAGGATGACTATTGATTTTATATGTTTTAATGTGTTTTAAATTTTATTGTATTTATTGAAATGCAGTGACTCACCCTGAGCCCACTTATGGGATGGGTGGGATATAAATGCGAAAAATAAAAAATAAATATTTTGTTTTGAGGAAATGGGGTGTGTGTGTGTGTGGAGACCATGCATGCCACCCCAAGCTCCTTAAATATTATTTACGGTTTACATTTGCTCTATAGCAACTACAGGAGCCCGCTTACATAAGTGAATACTAAGATGCTTTGACTGAAGTGACATCAGCAGGCTCGGAAGCAAGAGGGACTCAAACTTGCCTTGTGTAGTCTGTCTTTAAGGCACCTGTTCCAGCATACTGTTTGGCACAAGCGTTTGCATTGTCAGCCCATGCTGTGAATAGAAAACAGAACCTCTAAGTAGACATGCAAAAACAGGGACAGCAACCAGGTAGCCCTTTATGTTTTACCTGGCAATCCAGACAGAAACCTACCATTTTTATAATTTTTTTCAAAATCCGCTTGCTCTTCAATTCTCTGGCCAACATGCAACACACCTAATCTCTACAACGACAAAAAGAAAGAGAGGACTACTTAGAAATTCATTAGAATCGTAACACTTTCGTTGCATGGTGATCATTTTTTGTTGCATGTAGATAAGAGCATTTCTTGTCATAAACGCTGGGGGGCCCTGACTCACCTGCAGGTCCCATTTGTGGTCCTGCGTGGGCAGGGAGAGCCAGCGGGGCGACGCGACGGTGACCACTGCTGGTCATGTCCAGCAAAGAGGGGTGGGTCGCAAGGGTGGCTGGTGGGCAGCTGCAAGGGCACAAAAATCAGGCCCACCCTCTCCCAGGAGAAAGGTGCACAGCACCACTCCGCCAACTCACCTGGGGGGGGGGGTGCAATAGGAGGGACCCTTTACCTTCGCTGTCTCGTCCCCTCCCCTAGGTGCTGGGGCTGCAAAAGCATGTCTGTGTGTTTCTAGCATATCTCCTTTCGTGGTGGATATTCTAGGTTGGATCCATAGAATCAGAGTTGGAAGGGGCCATACAGACCCTCTAGTCCAGCCCCCTGCCCAATGCAGGACCAGCCCAGCTTTTACGCCTGATCTTGCCCAATTCCCTCCCCCCTGCAAGTCCTGTCCTGTGCGGCTTTAGTTCTCCAACATGGCCTTTTGCTGGAGAAGGGCTGGTAGGCTAGGGTTGCCAAGTCCTACCTTAAGCCGCAGCGGGGGACTCCCGGCTTTCTCCGGGAGCGCGCACTGCAAGCACGTCACCCGGAAGTGACACGGCCGCGTTGGGCGTGGCTGCGTTCCTTCCGGGTGACGTGCTGACGCCGGGCACGTCCCGTGCTTTGGGGGTGGGGTTCCCCCCGGGGCCCGATCCATCTCCGGGGGGACTTGGCAAGCCTATGGTAGGCTGATGCCCCTCTAATAATGCACCAACCATGTCCCTTTACATGGATCTGAGGGAAAGATACCCCTAGGAAGAGTTTCAACCTGCAGCTGCGCTTGGAGAGATCGCCGTGCCAGAAGGCTCTGAATCACATTCGTCCGATCCAGGCAGTCCATACAATTACTGCGGAAGATTCCTTCTTGCTGGATCACCACCTTGCCATCAGAGTCAACAAGAAAGTAGCTGAAACACACAATGCAACTAGGGTCAGAGTGCACAACTCCTCCTCATTTACTACCTGCAGGGGCACTCCAACCCGGGAAAGTTGCTATGGCTATTAACACTGAAGAAACTGCCCTCTGGCAATGACATCTTGACCCACACTCCCTGCTGCCATTTTTTAAAATCAAGGAGGGGGGGTTGGGGTTGAAAGCTGTTTGTGATATGGCATGAAGGCCTACTGCAGAAAAAAGGCTCATATATCCTAGTGGATGCACACAAACTTCGTCTAAAGAAACCGTGGCCTTGTCTAACATCCAGAGTGTTTCAGAGGCAAAAGCAGAGTATGGCAGCACCCAATAACTGGTTGTATGTCGCTGCATTTAGCCATCTTGCCACTGATCCAACAAAGTTGTGACTAAGTCCAGTTAATGTTGCTTTCAATAACACTAACTTTAGGATAGATCATCGAGGTAGAAGAAGAGAAGAAGAGATTGGATTTATACCCCACCCTTCACGACCCAAAGGTGTCTCAGAGCGGCTTACAAACTCCTTTTCCTTCCCCTCCCCACAACAGACACCCTGTGAGGTAGGTGGGGCTGAGAGAGCTCTGACAGAAACTCCTCTTTTTCAAGAACAGCATTTATCAGAACTATGGCTTGCGCTTGCCCAAGGTCATCCAGCCAGGTGCAAGTGGAGGAGTGGGGAATCAAACCCGGTTCTCCCAGATTAGAGTCCGCGCACTTAACCACTACACCAAACTGGCTCTACACCAAACTGGCAGCCGTGTTGGTCTGAAGCAATACAACAAAGCTAGAGTTCAATGGCACCTTTAAGACCAACAAATTTTTATTCAAGATGTGAGCATGAGAACTTTGTCAGCCGAAGTGTGCATGCACACAAAAGCTCACATCTTGAATAAAAATTTGCTGGTCTTAAAGGTGCCATTGTTGTACTAACTTTAGGACTCAGTTTTGCTCTTAGTTTTGAGCTATCCCAGGGATACTTAAAAGGCAAGAAGGATTAATTCTGTCTTTTAGGATTGCAGATGCTCTGATTCATCACCTTGGTTCTCCCAGCTCTAAGGAATTCTTGTTGTGAGAGTGGGTTTTTCAGCACAATGGCACTTTTACAAAATGCTTTCTGACACCCACACACCTCCAGAACTTAGGTTTACATCACCTTTAGAATAAGGAGTTTTATTAAGAGACTTCAGTTAAATGCTTCATCCTGGTCTGCCAGAAGAATTGAAAGAAGATTTAACAAAACATCAGCTAGTACCTACAGACAGGATTATCTCCAACTGCTCAGCAAGTGCGGACTTCTGATAGATGAAAGAAGCAAGGTTTTAATATAAAATATTTCCCTCTCTAATAAATCCCTTTCCACTGGAGACGTTTAGTTTAATTGTATTTAAACAAGGACGTAACTTTGATAATTTTTATCAATTAACTGAGGGAAATTCAACTATCAGGAAATTCAAATAACAGTATGAAAATGCTAGCTGCATAATCAACTGCAACCATATTGTGCCTCGTTATTTCACACACATCTTGTCAAATTTGAGAAGTACACTATGCAATATACCACTGTCTTGAGAAAAGCTGATGGCAAGGTTTCACCATACAAAGATTTTTGCACGAGCTGTTTAGAAACAAGCAGAGAAGCCTCAAAAGCTCTTTGGACCTCTGGCCTAGACAGATTCACCAAGAAGTGATCTCCAGAGATTTTCAACAGGATTTAAATTCAAGTAAGTGGTTTTGGATTACAGCCCAGATCAACAGAATTTACAGTATTACCAGAACAATACAATTTTCATTAAGCATAAAGCAACAGTTCATTACTGGTATGTGCTGTGCGGAATCTAGTTATTAGGTAACTTCTACTAACCACAACAAAATGCCTGCACACTGCAGTTGAATATATTACCCAAATTCATCTTGTTGTTCAGCTAGTCGATCCACTAAAATCTGGAGCCGATCCCACCTCATGCGACTGCATTCTTTATGGAAATCAAATGCTACATATCTGGGGCAGAGAACACATACATATGAGTTAACATACTCGCTTGGGGTATTTCAGTTAGGAGGAGACAGGTTCCTGCTAGCAGAGGTGGAAAGATAACAGCCAGTGGCAGCGGCCTGTGCGCGTGCGTGCGTGTGCTACTGAACTAGAAAAAGCACCCACCCCATTGCCTATCTAAGAAAAATTATTTAAGGCAAACTTTGCCAGCCTTATGTGCAATGCAGTGTTTCCACAGAACTAATGCTTATGGTGCATACATCCTCTTTGTGGTCACCTCCAGTAACAGGTCTCTATCTTCACTTCTTATCTCAGACCATTAGTACAATCCTAAGCAAAGTTACACCTTTCCAAGTCCATTGACTTCAGACTTAGATTACAAATCCATTAGTGTCAATCAATGGACCTGGAAAGGTGTAAATCTGTTTAGGACTGAGACAGAATACCCCCCCCACACACACACACAGAGAGTTCCTGAACTGCTACAAATTAAAAGCCACGTAGCTGTACTGCAAACCACCCGTACCTATGCATCACCCTTACTATAACAGTCTAAGGACTTCCACATCATTCTGGGCAGACAGCTTCAATGCACCCCCCCATCCCGGCTTCCCCTATCGTGGGTCATCATTTTGCTGTACAGCTCCATCCCTTGCCCTGGAGCTCTTCCTATGGGCATGCATTCAGTAAATGGACAGAGTTGTGGCTATTATTTGCCATTCTGGGAAGGGCACTTCAACTTTCTAGGCGCTGAGGAAGGGGGCAAATTTTGTCCCAGCTCTTCTTCAGCTGCACATCTGCAAAGTAACTAGATTCACTTAAGATCCAGAGAGGCGGGTCTATGCATCTCCCTCAAGTGTGTTAATCATACAGAACCTGGCTATTCAGCTTTTCTATACAGAAATGAGACATTGGGGCAGCTGGTTCCAATGCTACTGCAAACACATTTCACTTGGAAAGTACCTGACCATTCCATTCGCCAAACCGTTTACCATTTGTGAGAACGTTTGCTCAAGAGGCTTTTCTGAGCCCTTCTGGTTAATCTGTGAAACAAGCACACACAAATTACATACAGTAGAAACAAACACATTCCTTTGAACTTCGTTCCAGCTACACAAATTAAAACCATACCAGGTTAACGATCACTTGTTTCCCATAGCTAATAATCTGAGAGTCAAAGTGTCTTTGGAAGCCATCCATCTGAAAAAGAAGACAGTACAAATATGTATTCAAAGTATTTACAAAAAGCTGCATATTACAAGAATCCATAACGGAGCGAATAGGGAACGTGCTCAATATGGTGATATCATAGCAGAGATCTTCCAGAACTGATCCAGCATAGCATTCTACTTAACAAGTGGCTTAAAAAAAACTGTGCATCATTTTCATGAATATGGTAGATGCCAAGATTACACCTGAGAGACAGAATGCACTCAGCATAGCTAAATCCTAACCCTAGCTAAAGGCTCAAACCTCCCCCCCCCCCCAATCTTTTGCTTCTTCCAGCTTGTCCAACACACCTTTTTGCTCTGCCTCTCAAGGCTGTTGGCTCACCAGGTCTGAAACCGGAGTGAGTGTGTGACGCCCTTAACAATGCTGTGGGCCAACTCTTTGAAACAGAATTCCTAGGGCTACAGAACCCATGGCCAATTAGCACAGTGCCGATGTGCATTTTCACGATGGACGTTTGAAGGACATCTCACTGGGTGCTGAAGTTATTCGTAGGGCCTTTTGAAGAGTGCAGGCACAAAGAGCTAATAATGGTGGGACTGTTAGTCTTACTCATAAATAGCTAACCCAGGCAATGCACTGCTTTAGTACAAGCTCTGATGCAGCTTTGCTGGTACTCATGAAGTAGCCTAAGAATGGTCTGATCAGGCACTGGCTTTGGTGCTGACTGGCTCCCTTCCCAGACTGCACACACGCCCTAGCCGGATAAGAACTGGGCATTTCCGACTGGAGGGCTTTCCTCTCTGGCACCTGTCAGGCAGCATCAGCCATCTCCTCCTTGAACTACATGCTGGTCCTGGGCCCTGGAATGGTTGTATGTATCTCAAACAGAAGAATAGTTGGATTTATACCTCACCCTTCACTCAGTCTCAGAGCGGATTACGATTTCCTTCCCTTCCTCTGAGGACTGCTCGTGAGATAACAGCTCTGAAAGAACTTGCATCTGACCCAAAGTCACACCAGCAGCTGCATGTGGAGGAGTGGAGGACTCTAATCTCCCAGATTAGAGTCAGCGCTCCTAACCACTACACCAAACTGCTCTCAGAGATATAAAGGAAGTACACAGCTAGTATTGTCTTAGCATTTTAGTGAGGAGATCATTTTTCTCTAGTGAATGTGTATCTCCAGAGCCAGACAAAAAGACTAGAAGTAACACAGCAAGTTCATTGTCTCTTGCATTTCACTGTTTACTTGGTTTTTAAGCATAATTCTTCAGGCTTGAAAAAGGCTCCCACATCAAACCTTTGCGAAACCAAGCATTTTACAGCCTTCAGTAAACAAATTAGCCTTCCAGGAAATCTCAGGGGAGACCACACGGGAAGGCGTTTTCTCATCTGTCTACATACATATAGACCAGGTTGTGTAGTAACCCACCCCATCAAAGAATCAAGGGAAATAAAAACATGAACATACATGATTTATTGATTTGCTGATCTGTGGCTTTGGTTTATATCTGAGGTTTGGTCTCTGTGACCAGAAAAAAGGAATTGATCCACGAGTCTGGAAAACAAATGGGGAAATAATGGAAGAACACAGCTGTGAATATCAGCACAGACACCTAAACAGCCTCTGAAGAACAGAAGGACCAAGATCACTTGTTTGCCAAACAAAAGTTATGCACTTCCAATTTAACAAGGAGAAACACCTACCTGAACAAAAGAAGCTTTACTCCCGTTGTAATGCACAATTTGCTCTGTTTCTACAAAGTTAGCTGCATGTCCTTCTGAATCGATACCTAATATAGTAAGAAATTCAAATTACAGCTAGCTACCTTACTTTCAATCCCAGCCTGACATTAGTTTTGCAAGAGCTTCTGTTACACACGTTGACCAAGAAGAAACTAGAGAACTGAATGGTATTACCGAGTTGCCTAAAAAAACTGATGGGATATCAAGTCCAGCACAGGTTAGACAATTATGCTGTGTTTTATCACTTTTGGAAACAATGCAAAGCCAGCGTACTTTGAGAGAGAGTGTTAAAAAGTAGTCACTGAATATCCTTCACCACCAACTCCCACACTTGACAAAGCAGCCATGGTAAGAGAGAGGAACTGACGTCCAAAGGGCACTAGGTGCATCTGAAGATTCTGGGCAGGGATCCCACCTCCTCTTTTTATCAAGGGTTTTTTGGGGTTTTTTTGTATTTGTGTCTTCCACTACTGGGATCAAAATGGCATGTCAGTCCCACTGAGGTCACCCGGTGGACTTTGTGTCCAGTGAAGTCTGGACCTGAGATTTCCAGATCCAAGCCACGGCACTGGATCATTTCAGCTTTAATTTACTACTTCTTTGCTTTACCTTACGTCTAAATACAAACATTTCCAAGTTTGCTGTTTAGCTTAGAGCAAAATGAACCTTAACCAGCATATAGAGATGCTACAAATGCCCAAAGAGTTTTCTTCAGCAAAATCTGCATCTGTCTGTAGGAAACACCAGCACAATATAGCTATTAACAAAGCACAAAAAACCTGACCCGTTTCATACAGCAGTTGCACATTTCTTGCCTTACCTCTAACATAATAGCGCACACCAGCTCTGAAACAACTTCTTCGGGAAATAAGAATCCAGTCAAAATACTTTCCATTAATGGAACAAGAGTACATCGTAATAACTGATACAAGGCAACACGTTAAGGAATATATTTGCACACACATTACAGTGATACATTGTTCAGAATATGAGCTAAGACATTATTGTTATGGACATGAAGAATACATCTTCTCTGATGGCAACTTAATACCAAAATTTAAGAACCAGTAACTAAATTCGAAATATGTACATGATCTTAAGGGGGAAAGTGCTATATTGCTTTGCCTGGGAAGAGACAGCAGGAACACATGAGTTTTTCATATATTTCTAATTCAAGAAAGGATTTTTTAAAAAGATAGTGAGGGAGATAGTTTCATTAACATAAAAATATCTGACCTATAATGCAGATACTGACAGCACTACAGACAGGAAGAAGTTCTAGATGGTAACTAATACATCTTCAAGGAATACACTTAAATAACTTAAGTAGCTAAGAGGATCGCTTATGTCTGTGCATGTTATAATTACTATTATACAGAAACAAGGAGGAGCACAAGCTCTGGCAAAGCAAAAGGAAGTTGATACTGCAGGCTGAAAGTGAATTTGAGAAGCATACGGCCAAAAACCAAACATTGCTTTAGCTGCATCAGAAACAAGGAAACCAGGGAGGCAGCTGGATTGTTAAAACAAGGAGGGAAAGGACCAGTAAAAGAAAATGGGGAGACTGCAGAAACTGAATGAATTCTTTGTAATTGGTGTTACTGTGGAACACGTTGGACAGATACAATCACTGAAATTTCCGTTTTAGGGGAGGGTGAAGAAATGAATCACGCAGAAGTGGAGACAAAGTTTCAGGGATGATAAATGGGGAAAGCAACAGGTTACTGGGTCTGCATGGCATACAGTGAGGAGTCTAAAAGGAACTCGGATGTGAAATTACTGATCGCCAAACCAAACCAGGAACTTGTTATTACAACCGGCCTACTTACCAAACAACTACAAAGTAGCAAACCTAGTGCTGATTTTTAATAAGGGGTCCAGGGAGCAGTCTGGAAATTACAGTCAGCCCAACATCTGTTCAGAATAAATTAGCTTGAAGGCACTATTAAAGATGGAATTATTTAGGATGTAGAGGAACAATCCCTACTGATAGGGATTAGTTACAGAATCCATGCGCCACTTCTTTTTCACCAGCATTTTAGACTTCTTGGAGGGTGTTAGCAAGCATGTTGATAAGGATAATTCAGCAGACATCATACCCCCTAGATTTCCCAAACACTTCTGACTGAGTCCTCCACCAAAGGCTCCAGAGTAGCCTTCAAAGTCACGTGATAAGATGACAGGTCTTCTTGTGGATTAGAAACTGGTTAAATGGGAAACAAGAGGAGAGGAGTAAAAGGACAAATTTCACAATGGAGAGAAGCAAGCAGTAGGGTTCCACAGGGATCTTTACTGGAGACCACTGCTATTTAATTTGTTAATCTGGATTCGGAAGAGAACAATGAGGAAGCCAAATTGGCAGATGTCACCAAATTAGTAAGGCCTGTGAAAACCAGAAAGGACTGCATAAGAACTCCAAAAGGATTTGTCTGAACAGGTGAGTGGGCAACAACATGAAGAAACGAGTGCAGTACAAGCAAACATAAAGTGATGCACATTAGGATTTTTGCCACAAATTCACAAAATCATTGGCTGAGCCCAAATTGGCAATATGAGACCAGGAAAGAGATCTGGGATCAGTGTGAGTATGTTAGTGAAAACAACTATCCACTGTGCAGTAATTGAAACTAAATTCCATATCAGGGAACATTAGGAAATGGATTGAAAATAGCACAACCAGTACTGTGAAATACTTGCATAAATCTATGGTGCATTTAGAATACTGCATGGTTTTAGTCACACAGACACACACACACACCAATCTCAAAAAGGCTACTGTAACAGTTCAAAAAGTTTCAGGACAACCCAAGTTATCAAGGGGAAAGTCTGAAGAAATTGGGCTTTGTTCTAAACTCTCCAAATTAGTCTGAGTACATAAGCAAAAAAGCCTACTTTAAACTTTGAACTTCTACGTGCCCATTATGGAGATATTTATCCATTAATTTGTGGAATCAATGCAGTGGCAACACGTTCACACATACATATACACACACCAAACACTAACCAAATGGCATTATTTGGCGGAATTATGAAAGGATACATCCATGCATAACTGGTGTAGCAAACCTATGAATCTGCAATACACACAACAAGAAATTTAGCACAGTTAAAGAGTCACAAAGATCAACTAAATATTAGACAATGAAAGTAGAAATGGCAAAGACCACGGAATTCCATGACAAAACAATGCACTGTGCACTCACAGGGTCATATTTTCAAGAGAATGCACTCCACTCATACTGTATGTACGTATTAAGGATACCAGTTCATACCGTACGCATTTAAAGCCTTACTCCTCAGACCAGTACAGTAAAATTCCTAAGTTTATCATTTAAAATGCTTTGTGCACAGAACTACCCTATAAGGAAGATACGAGTTAACAGCACCACACTGTAGACAATTGCAAAGCAAGGAACACAAGACACACAAGGCCAAGAGGTACATACATGGGCAGTCTTTAAGCAGTGGCTGGACAAACACTTGTCAGGGATGCTCTGATCTGGCACTGAGCAGAGGGTTGGACTAGATGGCCTGTATGGCCTCTTCCAACTCTGTGATTCTATATACGAAACAGCCTTTTTCTGTTACAAGAATGCTACCTCAAAATGGGCACTGACAACCTTCCAAGAAATTTCACTAAGCCCGAACTTAACTTGGACATGGGGAAGAGTTCCTTACTGCCTGGTAAGTCAAGGCCTAAGGTGAAACTCCAGCCAGGGCCTTCCTGGCTAAACTCTCAGACCCACCCACGGCAATGACAAGGGAACAAGAAGCTGATCCCCATTAAATGCCCCTGAGTAATCAGAGTGGGGGCTACAAGGAGCGGCCACACTCCTCGCAGAAGTGTGAGTTTGCACTTGGGAAAAGACAACTGCAGGACGGCTTAGTCTTCCCAACCGGTAATCAAACAGCAGGCTAGAAAGAATGCCTGTTCCCATCACTAAAGATAACACAGAAATTTATTGCAGTTTTACAAGCGGCTATTCTGTGAAACCAAAAGTCTTAATGAATTATTTTAGGTTACCAGCAACTGCTGTGGAACCTCTAAAGATATCTGCGACATCTCTCCTACAGCAATCAAACGTTTTACAGCTCTCATTCAAATATACTTGGAAAGCACATCTTTATTATTCATTTGGTTGCTGCCTATCTGTAGCTGAAAGGAATGAGGGTGTTAGCTGAGCTGAGAACTATTTGTGCCACATCTTGGCCAGGAAACACGGTATCTGGCATGCATAATTGAAGACTATTCTTAACAAGCAGCACAGGATGCTGATTGAACTAATTCATTCCACACAGCTAACAGGCCGGCGTAAATTTAACATTTCTGTTGGCAAGTAATCTGAATCAGAAGGGATATCTAGCAAGCCAACATTTTATGAAGAGTCTAAAAGTGAAGAGCTCCTGGACTCTCATAGGCCTGTACTCCGGATATATTTTTAAAACAGAAGTCCAGGAGGGCGTGGAGGGGGAAGAATCAGTCATCCATCTGCTTTGGCAACTGCTACTATATTCTCTTGTGCCAAGCTTCCTTCTTACATCTGGATCAGCCTCAGTTACCTAACAATCAAGGCCAAACTTCAGCCTTCCACCTTATACCACCTGGCTTCAGTTTTTTGTTCTGGCAACTCCCAGTTAGTCGTGTTCAACAACCTCCGCTGTCAAAACTGGGGGTCTTCTTTATATCAGTTCCAGCCCACATAGATTCTAAGTCAATTCTGTGTTCTATTCTATTGAGCAAAGCACAGATTGAGTGAAGATTCAGTTACAGCAATCGTATTTGTAGCAGCAGAAATAATGGCAGTGGCTCCATGGAAAATGGATTAGACACAGCCAAGAGAATGAACCATATCAGCACAGCCGCAGAGAGGCTAAGATCTTCTCACTCTCCCCACCTCCAACTGTTACTAGCCGTTTGTAGAAACCACATCCAGTACCAGATGCATGCACTGCATTATTTATGGTCTGCATTTTCTTCCACTCCAGAAGAAAACTGAATAGGTATTTGTAAGACGTCACATTTGCAGTAGGATTTCTGCTTCAGTTTTTTTACAACACTGGTCAAGTAGTCAGTATTGAAGATGCCAAGCATAATCATGAATTGCTCCAAATGTCAGACCCACAGTTACAGCATTAAGAAGATTTTCTACTGTCTATATTTCAAAGATTATGGCCAACCAGACGATAATATATATTACCTCAGGCTGAGCAGCAAATTCTCTAAGAAGATGTCCATTCCATACAAACCGTGGATCTGCCTGTAAGAAGTTGAACCATGGGATACAATTAAAACACAAAGCAACTCATTTTCAAGAAATGTTTTTAAGGGGTTACAGAAAGCCAGTATTTGCTAGTCTCCCCACATAAGAGTTCCGAGAGACACGTGGGTTTTTTCACAGGAACAATCTCTTGTGTCACAACGTTTATTCCTGAACTGATTTAAAAGATGAAAAGCTCGGTTGCAACCTTTATACTACTGTTTGTATGCCGCTTCTCCAGAAACTTGCTCAAAGTGGCTCACAAAGTAAACACACTTTGAATTGTGCCTGGAAGCACATGAGCAGCCAGTGCAGAACATTCAGTGCAAGGGTAAGATGATCCCTGTTTCCACCCCCTGACAATAGCCTAACTGCTGCATTTTGGGCCACTTTAAGTTACCAGGCAGTTTTCAAAGGTAAGTCCCACATGAAGTAATCTAAGACGGATGTGATCACAGTATAGATCACCAAGGCCAGATCACACTTTTCAAGAACACACCAAAGCTGGTGTATCAGTCAAAGCTGATGCAGGTACGACCTGTCACAGAGGACACCTAAGCCTCCAACTGTAGGCCAGAAGAGAGCATCAGCTCAAAACCACAAACCTGCTCTTTCAGGGAACATGCAACCATCCCTGCCAGAACAGGATGATTCCCCCAGTCTTCAAGCAACTTTGTCACTGACCAACAGTACCTACATTTTTGTCTGTTTTGGGCTTCAATTTATTGACCTTTATTTGTTCAGGACTTCCATAGACCCCCTTGACTCAGGTGCGTCAGGAGAAAACAGGGGAAACAAAGCTGGGTGTTATCCAAATCCAGGAACAAACTCCTTCAATGGTTTCATGGAGTAGATGTTCCCCGTATCACTGAACAAGATGGTCCCCACAACATACATACCCCCAGGTCAACTATCAGTCCCCGTCCCCCATCAGCACCTTATGGAGTCAGCCAGTCAGATCAGATGGGAACCGAAGCACAGTGCCCACAACCTTCTTGAGAACTATGTCCAGAAAGTTCGTTTTATGAGGTAAACTAGATGCAGTATGGGGAACCCACTGCTGGAAGCCACATAACCAGCAACAACTTGAGGACTCTGTACGAGAATGGAATATTGGTCACCAGGCAGAAATTATTTAGATCACTTGGGTCCAGGGATGCCTTTTCTAGAATCGGTCTTATGACTGCTGCTTTCAGACTGGTTGGGACTACACCCACCCTCAGACAGGCATTTATTATCTCCTGGGCCAATGTAATCAACCTGACCCAGCTAGATACTACGAGCCATGAGGGCCGAAGGTCGCTCCTGTACGTGGAGGGCCACACACTTCAAGCAGCTTGTCCATCAGGCTTCAACAACTAGGACCAGAATGCACTCCAGTAGCATCCGGCTACTGAACTACCAACCGTGGCGTGTAAATCAGAGCAGATACGAACTATTTCATCCACAAAACATATTGAGAGAGGGGGGAAAGAGCAGTAAGCTTGCACATTCTCCACATCTACATCCTCAAGGACCTGAGACAGAAGCCCCTCACAAACTGGAAAAGCTCCACTGGATGGATGGCGGCACTATGTGAACACAAGGGCAGTGGGGACAGCCCACTTTGCCTCCCACACTGCTGCAGAGTAGGCATGACAACGTGCTCTCCCTTGTATCCAGTCACCTTCTCTTTGAGGTTCCCTCCACTTGTATGCTAACTATTTGTCCAACCGCTTCAGCACCCTGACCCTCTTCAATAAAATGTGGGGGCCCTATTTTGCATTTGATGGGAGGAGAGTCTACTATATTTTCACATCACCGTACATGTAGTGAAAAATGTACATTTGTCTTCTCTAAAACCATCAAGAAGCTGGGGACAAACATCCTTACCCTCTCTAGCAAGCTCATTTCTTGAAACTCGGGACTCGTATTAGCCAACCTTTGCAAGGTGTGCGTTAAGTCATACGTTGTAGAGAAATAAAATCCATCCACACTTAACACGTGGCTAATCATTGCTAAAAAGGCTTTATTGTCCTGTAACTGTAAAGAAAAGGAATTATTTACAGGTTTATTACACTTTCTCTAACTTCATCCCCCCCACCACCAATAAATATAAGATTCCCACAAGAAAGGATCTGAAAAACCATGAAGAAATTCTCAAGAATCCTTGTTTCATAATGGGGACAACAGCACTAACTGCAGTTTGCTATTACAATATAGCCCAACTCTGCCCTTATTAATGGTCACTGGAGAAACATTTGGGCTTTGAATCAATAGCAGGCAGACAATAACGTGTACTGTAAAATATGCATATTTTATAAAAGTTAAAACATTATCCTTTTGTTGCTGATTCCATTTATTTTTTACTCATTTGCAGGTCCATTACCCCAAAGAAAAAGCGGGGTTAAACGAGACATGATTATTAAACATTATTGTACTTACTCCAAAAGGAAAAATGGGGTGTGTGTGTGTGTGTGTTCAGGTATGCCACCAAGAAAAAGAGGGAGGTTGTGTTACACTCCCATACAAGTTACAAGTACATACAGTAATAAATATTTCTGTGTATATATTATACACAATTTATACTTTTGTACTGTTTTTAAAGGACTAGTATTATAGAATAGATTCAAATCCCAGATTTTGACAAGAATCCAAAGAACCCCATTAAAACTGCTTTCATTCACAGGGGGAAAGGAGTCAATTAGGCTAGTCTTCCTTTCCAACTTCAAATTCTGCCTTCAGGAACAACATTTCAAGGGGCATGAGGGCAGAAAAGCAGTAATTTGCACCCCAGCCTAGAGGAAGATTTGTCAAGGTCATAAACTAAGAGGTAACTTAACAATTGTTCAACACTCTTGTTATTGAATGTGTTTTAAGGACACAGATGAAAAAGGATCTACCGTAATAAAATATCTTGCTGAGATCTCTGATGCAGTCAAAGGGTATTTTTCTATTGACAAATCTGCACCAACCTGAATATCAGTTAAATGTAACATTGTCTTTTTGTAAGAGAGGATATCAAAGTCCATTGCTTTCCAGATTGCATGGTTGAAAAATTCTCCTACTTTTCTCTTTTTTGTTATTACAATAAGGTATGAGCCTGTAAAAAAGCAAGGTACAATTCCATTACATAATTTTTTTTACAGAGTTTAACAATTTTTTTTAAAGTAAAAGAAAAATTTAAATAGCTGTAACCAGCCATTCAAACCGAGAAGGCAAGTACACTGAACTTGATGCCTTTTCCCGAAGAGTATAGTTTTTTGCTATCACATTCTCAAGAGCTCCCCCCCGCTGTAACCAGCCATTCAAACCGAGAAGGCAAGTACACTGAACTTGATGCCTTTTCCCGAAGAGTATAGTTTTTGCTATCACATTCTCAAGAGTCGCCCCCCCCCCAATACCATAACCTTGGGATTGGATTTAATTCACTTGTATCACAAACCATAGGTAGTTTCACACCCCTTGGGAACAACTGCAAAGAAGTTTCTACTGCTTCCTGTTTCAAAAGATTCAAGGTTACTTCTATTTAAAACATCAGTTCCATGTACCAGTCAAGGATGACTGCTTCAGAAGACTGGAGGGTTCTGCAAATGTCAATATGACCCCACGCTATGAACTCCCTCTACTTAGAAAAACTAGCACATCAGGGAATGAGATACTCACCCTGATGGACTACACATTTTTTTTCTTTTAAACTACATGGGAGAAATGCAACAAAATATAAAATTTACACCTCAGAGTGGTGCAAATCCATCAGAACTGCATCATACGGTAATCTTAAATGACTAATCTGTTTTTTTATAAAGGACCTTCTTAAGAGCCATGTTAAAGCTCTGTAAACAGAATGTTCAGTTCGTGGGCCAAACTAGATGCAATGGGGGGAAATCCACATGCACACATACAGACCCAGAGCCAGACTTGTTGCTTTTAATATTTTTCTCACAATATTCAGTGAGATTTTTTTGGGGGGGAGAGCTTACATCACTGGAATTAAGACCCTCTTCCTGCCTTTGCTATCAAAAAGCACCACCAAGTTTCTATACTGACACCAAATTGTTAAACATTTAATATATAGTAATTTTAACTGAATTTTGTTTTAACATTGTGGAGTCTTAATGTATATATTTATTGGCATATATTGTAAGCCACCCTGAGCCTGCCACAGTGGGGAGGGTGGGATAAAAATTAAATAAATAAATAAATAAATAAATACACCCATACTGCAAGCGTACACTTTCCACAGAAACTACTGCACACTTCCCTCTCCTCCTAAATCACTGTTACCAATGCATTGATGCCAATAACTGTTCACTAATCCAGAAAATTTTACCTGCTACTAGACGGATTGTTCCCAAAACACCATATATTTGCCTGGTAACAGCTGAAGGCGGAATATCTTTCTTAACTGCAAAGGAAAGACATCGTGATCAGCATTAGGACTGTAACACACAGAGCCCAGCAAGAGCCAGCCACGAGGCTTAACCAAATTATCTGTGTCAAGAGCAGTTTCCTGGTACTGAAATCAAAACAGAAAACACACTGGACTAGAGAAATAATTCTGTGGACAGGAATGCTTCATCAACATTTTATTTATTAAAGTTGTGATCATTCACACAGTTTTCCCATAATAAGCTGGCTTGCCAATAGAAATCAGAATAAGATTTTCCTTAAGATGTTAAGGATTCAAGATCAAAAGTTGTACTTGTTAGCTCCTGACTCCAGTACTTTTAATACACTTTCTAGTTGACCTTTAGTCCTTGTAGAAGGTTTTTGGAGGGTTTTTTTAAAAAAAAGACTTTTGGGTCAGTGCTGAAGGCTACAGAGTAATGCCAGAACACACCCAGGAAAAGAAATAAGGGGTAGAGGGGGCAGACAGGTGAGAAAGAAGGAAAGTATTCTCTTTCTCTCAAAGCTATAAAAGGTCTTTAAATCACTAAAATGTAGCAAGGCTTTAAATTAACATTATCCATTTTAATCCTTTAGCATATCTGGCGGTGGGTGGAAAGTGCCATCAAGCTGCAGCTGATTTATGACAACGCTGTAGGGTTTTCAAGGCAAGAGCCATTCAGAGGTGGTTTGACACTTGTCTGTCTCTGCGTAGAGACCCTGGACTTCCTGGGTCGTCACCTATCCAAGTACTAACCAAGGTGAACCCTGCTTAACTTCCAGGATCTGAGGAGATAGGACTAGCCTGAGTCTTCCAGATCAGGGCTTAACATACCTACAATAGACCAGAACTAATTTTTAAATTTATATTACCCTGGAATGTGACAATGGCTTGTGTAACTCAGCATGGTTCCTTCCTTCCTTGAGCAAAGACACATTCAATCCTGTACTCTCTCTCCTGCTGCTAATGACACAATGCAGCCAGGAAGTGTTATGTTAACTTCAAGTTAATCAAGTTCACTTATTACTCAATGAATTCACCAGAAAACAGAACTTTTTAAAAAAACGTTTCTGGCACAAGACCCAGTATTTAGACAAAACACATTTAACAAAAAACAAGCAGGAGGTGTGTGTTATTGTGATATATCTTTCCCACAGTTTACATGGGTTTAGGTTATTAATTTGTTGGCAAAAAGACGACCTTGCATGTGAGTAAAACATAACTGAGGTAACAGTGAAACAAACCAGGTGCAAGAGTCCTCATGTTGTTGACAATTCCTTTGTGGCTGCTGCTAAAAGAAATGCCACACTGGACAGGGGTCAAAGTGCTGGTAAAGAAATACCTGTAAGAGTGACTTCTGTGGAGACTCTGTCAATGGCCAGGACATCATTGGCTCCATCATCGCAAGCTTCCACATAAAACTTCTCTGGCGTTATGTGCCTAAAATGAAAGAAGCATGTAAAAGAACATTACTAGACAAGCAGACTAAAATGCCATGGTGTGTAGCATGAGTCACATTGCGTTTTGTCACTGAAACCAAGACTATGCATCTGTTTTGGAAGACAACAGGAATCAAAGGGTATCAATAACCTACTGCAAAGGAAAAAAAGCTCTCCTTCACTCTGGCGCCCCCCAAGTTCTTCCACATTCCCATTCCCAACTCATTGTCCTCGCCCATCTCCTGGTGGAGATCAAGCAACATCAGGCTTTTGCACAATTCATTTTGACCAGTTTGGGTTGTAGCAACCCAAAATGCCATCAGAATTTCAGAACCCCCCTCCCAAAAAAAAAGTTTGCACAGGCCGACATAGCTCTTGGTGGGGGTGGGGGTAACACTAATTTTTTAAAAAACTTTTTTTGGATTGTTCTGCAAACTTGGGTTTTCCTCTACATCGGTGAATACCTATGTCCTAGACACAGATGTCTCTGTTGTACAGATATTCTGATCTGAAATGCCTATTAGATATAGACAAGAAAGAAGACCCGCGAAACTCGCGGCGGGGGCGGGGGAGCTTCAAACTGAGCTGACGGAGGAGGAACCAGCAGGAGCAGGTAAGCTCTCCCGCCCCCCATCCTGCCGGTTCCTCCG